CAAAAGCGGGGCGCAGATGTCTCCTAGAAATGACAGGTTTCAGAGTAGCAGCCGTGTTAGTCTGTATTCACAAAAAGAAAAGGAGGACTTGTGGCACCATAGAGACTAACCAATTTATTTGAGCATGAGCTTTCATGAGCTACAGCTACACATCCGATGAAGTGAGCTGTAGCTCACAAAAGCTCATGCTCAAATAAATTGGTTAGTCTCTAAGGTGCCACTAGTACTCCTTTTCTTTTTCCTAGAAATGAGTCTGCAGGGCACCAACAGCTGCAGCTAGCTGAATAATAAAAACAGAGGCATGCCGTGGCTCTAAAGAGATCTGCCTGACATTTTTCATATGGAAAGCTTTGCTTACAAGTGGCCTTTTTGTTCAAAAACATTTTTACTTTTCCTGTGATTATTTTGGTACACGTTTTTAATTAAAAATGGTCTCCAAATCATTACAGACAATTTTCATTTACCAAAACCTGGGTTTTCAGTAAGTGAAAACTTTTGATAATGATTTTAAGACAAATGTTGACAATATTTTCAATTAAAAAGGTCACCAAAAACTCAGTCAAACACAATGAACGAAAAATAACTTCAAAACGTTACGATTTTTCACAACAGTATTTTTTCATTCTTTGGACATCTCTTTTTTTGCAAATAAATGACTTTCACTTCGCTGCTATTCACGGTATGTCAGTCATTGTCTGTGAACATGTATAGCTACCGTTAGTCACAAAAACACTCAGCAACCCCAACTCATGCAGACTGGAAACGTATTCATTATTACTCAGTCAATCTTCATCCTCCCCAAGATTTCAGTCATACAATCAGAGCCCAAGAAGTATACCCTGTGAACGAGCATATGCTATCAATAATCCAAATTCAACAGCTCATGAAAAAAGTTTACAAATTATTCTGAAAATTAATCATTATTTTGGGTGGATATTTTGAAATAAAAGGGGTGTTTGCAGAAATCAGGAACAATTCATCCATCCAACCCACCACTCCCTTTCCCCATGCAAATTTGTTGAAATTTCAGTTTCATGAATACTATTGAACCAGCTCTACCCCAAACTTTCCCAAAGCCGGTAAATGAGAGGTAATAATGCTTTGTTTTTACAGCACTTTCTATCGAAGGATCTCAAAGAACTTCATGAACTTTAATAGAAATTAGTAGTTGAGTCAGGAAAGAGTTTTCATCTCCATTTTACAGACAGAAATTGAGTCACAAAGACATCAAATGATTTGCTCAGAGTCGTGCGTGTTGAGTCTGTGAAAATAAAACATAGGATCCCAGTTCGGTGTTTTTACTAATAGACAATGAGTTACTGTTTCAACTTGGGAGCAGATTTTTCTCCTTCCCCTGTCCCTGACTGACTGCTCTCTTAGCCATCTCTCCAGCTTTTTAACTATATCAACAGATGATCTGAGCAAGTGGGGCTGGCCAGAAGCATGGAGGCAAGAGGCATCCACATCTTTGCTTCTTGCAGACTATTCAAGATTAGCAGGCTAATGGAGCTGCAAACCATTGCTTTTTACACACACACACACACACACACACACACACACACACACACACATACACACACACAGAGCAACTCAAATACAAACACAAAGATCTTTGGGTTTATTCAGATTTACCTATATACTAGAATCAGTTAAATAGCAGAAATAACTGATGAAAATTTACTCACTGTGGGCAGGTCAATACTATCACTTATGTCAATATAGCTTATTTCAGAGTAGCAGCCATGTTAGTCTGTATTCGCAAAAATAAAAGGAGGACTTGTGGCACCTTAGAGACTAACCAATTTATTTGAGCATAAGTTTTCGTGAGCTACAGCTCACTTCATCGGATACATCAATGCATCCGATGAAGTGAGCTGTAGCTCACGAAAGCTTATGCTCAAATAAATTGGTTAGTCTCTAAGGTGCCACAAGTCCTCCTTTTATTTTTGTGAATATAACTTATGTCATTCAGGGGTGTGAAAAAGCCACCCCCCTGAGCGACACAAGTTACAGTGACTTAAGCGCTGTCTACTCTGGTGCTATGTCTGTGAGAGATGCTCTCCAGCCAACATAGCTTCTACTGGTTGTTGTGGGTGGTTTAATAGAGTCGCTACACCAGAGACCTTATAGCAGCGCAGCTGCAGTGGTACAGCTGTGCTGCTGTAAGGTCTCTAGCGTAGACATGGCCTAGCCGTAAGATATATATGTGTGTGCGTGGGCTGGGGTGACCTATTACTTGAGAGGAATTGGTGGGCTGCCACTAAGGATGTTTGTGAACATCAAAAACTTCACAATTTTAGCACAGATTATTCACCTGAAAATTCATACTGGAAGCATGTGATTTGCCTGCTTCAGTCATCCAGCATTTCTTCACACAACACACAGTCAACCTGTGGAACTCTTTGCCAGAGGATGTTGTGAAGGCCAAGACGATAACAGGGTTCAAAAAAGAACTAGATAAGTTCATGGAGGACAGGTCCATCAATGGCTATTAGGCAGGATGGGCAGGGATGGTGTCCCTAGCCCCTGTTTGCCAGAAGCTAGGAATGGGCAACGGGATGGATCACTTGATGATTACCTGTTCTGCTCATTCCCTCTGGGGCACATGGCATTGGCCACTGTTGGAAGACAGGATACTGGGCTAGATGGACCATTGGTCTGACCCAGTATAGCCGTTCTTATGTTCTTATTCAGTGAAAGAGAGGAAAAACAACACTATCTTGCGTAGGTATCTTAAATCTCATGACACAACTAATAGCTGAAATGGAGAGGTCATGAATAACTTTTAGTCCAAAAACTGTTTGTCTACCCATTTGGCAAATATGTACAAATATATTCAGAAGAAATCAGGATTCATTCCTGAACAATTTGCTAAACAAAACAAGATACATATTTGAAACATAGTTCAGCCAGCATTGCTGGACACCAAGCTCTGTTGGTAGATTCAGGCTCTTTCCTGCAGACCCTGGATTCCTAGCCCTAGAAGAAAGAGCGACTTCCTCTTTTATGCAGGACAATAGGTAAGCACAACCCAGAGAAAAATCTCCTGGTCGTTTAGGACCCAATAGACAAGGAATGGTTTTAGACTACTGAATAAAAACTAGTGAAAGTGGAGCAAGAGGGAAGGAGAAAAAACAGGATGAGATATCACACCCATATATAGGGTGTTTTCATAATGAAAGTAGCTGAAGTTTCTGACTTTTTCATGTGGTAAGCGTCAAGATAAACTGAACCCTGTTACATCTTCCCGTATGTAACCAGCTTATTTTCACATACGTACATGTTTGCGCACACTCCTACTTGACCAAGCAAGCCTCAATCTAAATGACAGCAACAAAGAAATTCACAAAACAGGTCCTCAAAAGAGTAGTAGTGCAATCAGAACTAAAACAGCGAAGTGCACAGCACAGTTTCTGGCTTTGCCGTAGAGGGAATGGATCCAGAGGTAGTTTAGAGATCTGCGAAAGTCGTTCCAAGCTGCTGTCCACAGCCTTAGTCAGCCTGCTGGAATCTGGGGCAGGTGGGGTGAGTTTTATTACCTCAGACAAATGATCTGCTGAATAAGGGGCTAGTTTTGGTAGATTGTCCTTTTGGTACTTCAAAAATTACAGTTCTGAATGGACTGGGGGTGTTATTTCCCCAGAGAGCACCCACCATACCCTCTACAACCCTCCAAGTTGCTCTGTGAGAACCAAGCCACTGGAGGGAGCCTGTTCTCAGGGGCAGAGACTTTGTGAGAGGACACTGAGGGAGGGTTGGAAGTATCAGACACTGTTTCAGGCAAGCCCCTCTGGCCTGTGGTGCTTAAACACAACATTGAGAAAGGGAAGAAGAAGAAGAAAGAGGAGAAAAGGGTCACAGACTCTTTCAGGCTCCCTGATACATAGAGGAATATCAAGAGTTAGTACCATTCTGTCAGAGCAGGACACTTTTTTCTTTAATGCTTCCAAGGTGATAGAGATACCATAGATCAAGGGTGTCAAACTCATTCTGTTGAGAGGGCCAAATACCATTATTAATTATTGTCTATGGGCCAGGCTACAAGTTTTAGGACTACATAGAGTAACTCCTCACTTAAAATCATCCTGGTTAACATTGTTTCATTGCTGATCAATTAGAGAACATGCTCATTTAAAGTTACGCAATGCTTCCTTATAATGTTGTTTGGCAGCCGCCAGCTTTGTCCACTGCTTGCAGGAAGAGCAGCCCTTTGCAGCTAGCTGGTGGGGGCTTGGAACCAGGGTGGGCCGACAGCCCCCCCATCAGCTCCCCTAAGTTCCCTGGGTGGCAGCTGCCCAGTAGGCTATCAATTGCCAGGCAGTTCAGGTGTCCCTCCCCCCACTGCCCTGTGCTGCTCCTACCCTCTGCCTTGGAGCTGCTGCCAGGAGCCCCCTACTTGCTGTGCGAGGATGGGACAAGAGGGGTGCTGTCAGGGTGTCCCCTCTCCCCCGCTCCTGTCTCCCACTCCTTTACTCCATCTCCACAGAGCGGTGGGGGAGGGGGGACACACAGGGCTCAGGATGGAAGAAGCTTGCTGGCAGCAGCGGCTGTCTCAACTTACTGATCTACTTTAAAAGGCAATGTACTTAGAGTGGGATCAGCATACTTAAAGGGGCAATGCACATCTTTCTCTATCTCACTCACACACGGTGTGTGTCTTTGTCTGCCATGCTGTCTCCCCTCCCTCCATTTGTGCTGCCTTGTAAAATGTAAGGCTACATTAACAACAATGTGTTAACCCTTGAGGGCTCCCGGGAGTGCTAGTTCATCATTTAGCAGTAAGGTGGTGAGGAGAAGTGTCTGATTTTGGTTACACTTGTCTGGATGATGCTTAGTATCACTGATAACAGTTGAGCCTTATCACTTCCCTTACATCATATCAGCTCTCACAGCAGCAGAACAAGAGGTTATAAAACCACCATCCACTTAAACATTTAATGCAAAGAAGGAAACAATGGAACTATAAACACATCCAAAACTTTATTGGGTTGAGGTGGAAGGTCAAGTGGCCAAATTGTTGAAGGAGAAATTGGCTTTCAAGATTCAACTACAGAATCTGTCTTCCTTCTATTTCCTTTCCCACATCCAGCAGCTTCTTTGATAATGCATTTTTCCCCCACAGGGAGACAGGTTCTCCGCTCTTTGAAGGTGGTATTCTTGCCCCTTCTAGTGACATCATCAGGGACATCAATTCTATGGTAGTAGCTGATCTCAGTCCATGAGGAGAGGGGATGCTGCGCATTCTAATTACTCATGTCAAGTGGCCTTGTGACTTGTCTCAATTCTACTGCTGGGCTGGGGCTTCCTCTTTCTTCTTCCACAGACCTGTTAATTTTTCCATCAGCTGTTCTGCCAGCACACTGATTTTAGAGGTCTCCTTCATCAGGAAATTCCTGTAGGCGACAGTAACATATCAGTAAGGTACATCTCTGGATGGGGTACCCTCTGTTTCTATTTTCATAAGACTGCCACTCTCTCATATTTACCTGTGGGACAAATTAGTCCTCACAAATTAGTCCATTAATATGGCTGTGGGACTCTTGAACTGCCCTGTAGGGATTCAACTCAGGAGGCAAGATAGGTGTGGGGCTGTGAGTAGCAATATGGAACTGTGTATCCCCCAGGTGTGCACACTTCTTGTTTCTGTCTGCCATCATCCGTTACCTCGGGAATAGATATTTACTATCTGAACCACCCTTGTTTTCCTTGAAAAATTTCAATTTTTCATTTGAAAACTGAAAAATTCTGACCAACCCCCCGATTTTTCTCATTTTGACAAAAAGTCAAAATTTTCCAGGAGGAAGGAGAGATAACATGTTCCAAGCAGCTCTAATGATAAGGTTAGTTCTAGAGTCACTCTTAGAACAGAAAGGACGAGGAGTACTTATGGCATCTTAGGGTATGTCTACACTACGGAATAAGGTCCAATTTATAGAAGTCGTTTTTTTAGAAATCGGTTTTATATATTCAAGTGTGTGTGTCCCCACAGAAAATGCTCTAAGTGCATTAAGTGCATTAACTCGGCGGAGTGCTTCCACAGTACCGAGGCTAGAGTGGACTTCCGGAGCATTGCACTGTGGATAGCTATCCCACAGTTCCCGCAGTCTCTGCTGCCCATTGGAATTCTGGGTTGAGATCCCAATGCCTGATGGGGCTAAAACATTGTCGCGGTGGTTCTGGGTACATATCGTCAGGCTTCCGTTCCCTCTCTCCCTCCGTGAAAGCAAGGGCAGACAATCGTTTCGTGCCTTTTTTCCTGAGTTACCTGTGCAGACGCCATACCACGGCAAGCATGGAGCCCGTTCAGGTAACCGTCACCCTATGTCTCCTGGGTGCTGGCAGACGTGGTACAGCATTGCTACACAGTAGCAGCAACCCCTTGCCTTGTGGCAGCAGACGGTACAGTATGACTGGTAGCCGTCATCGTCATGTCCGAGGTGCTCCTGGCCACGTCGGCTGGGAGCGCCTGGACAGACATGGGCGCAGGGACTAAATTTGGAGTGATTTGACCAGATCATTCTCTTTAGTCCTGCAGTCAGTCCTATTGAACCGTCTTATGGTGAGCAGGCAGGCGATACAGATTGCTAGCAGTCGTACTGTACCATCTTCTGCCGGGCAGGCAAGAGATGAGGATGGCTAGCAGTCGTACTGTACCATCTTCGGCCGAGCAGCCATGAGATGTGGATGGCATGCAGTCCTTCTGCACCATCTGCTGCCAGCCAAAGATGTAAAAGATAGATGGAGTGGATCAAAACAAGAAATAGACCAGATTTGTTCTGTATTCATTTGCTTCCTCCCCTCCCCCATCTAGGGGACTCATTCTTCTAGGTCACACTGCAGTCACTCACAGAGAAGGTGCAGCGAGGTAAATCTAGCCATGTATCAATCAGAGGCCAGGCTAACCTCCTTGTTCCAATAAGAACAATAACTTAGGTGCACCATTTCTTATTGGAACCCTCCGTGAAGTCCTGCCTGAAATACTCCTTGATGTAAAGACACCCCCTTTGTTGATTTTAGCTCCCTGAAGCCAACCCTGTAAGCCGTGTCATCAGTCACCCCTCCCTCTGTCAGAGCAACGGCAGACAATCATTCTGCGCCTTTTTTCCGTGCGGACGCCATACCAAGGCAAGCATGGAGGCCGCTCAGCTCACTTTGGCAATTAGGAGCACATTAAACACCACACGCATTATCCAGCAGTATATGCAGCACTGGAACCTGGCAAAGCGATACCGGGCGAGGAGGCGACGTCAGCGCGGTCACGTGAGTGATCAGGACATGGACACAGATTTCTCTGAAAGCGTGGGTCCTGCCAATGCATGCATCATGGTGCTAATGGGGCAGGTTCATGCTGTGGAACGCCGATTCTGGGCTCGGGAAACAAGCACAGACTGGTGGGACCGCATAGTGTTGCAGGTCTGGGACGATTCCCAGTGGCTGCGAAACTTTCGCATGCGTAAGGGCACTTTCATGGAACTTTGTGACTTGCTTTCCCCTGCCCTGAGGCGCATGAATACCAAGATGAAAGCAGCCCTCACAGTTGAGAAGCGAGTGGCGATAGCCCTGTGGAAGCTTGCAATGCCAGACAGCTACCGGTCAGTTGGGAATCAATTTGGAGTGGGCATATCTACTGCTGGGGCTGCTGTGATGCAAGTAGCCCACACAATCAAAGATCTGCTGATATCAAGGGTAGTGACCCTGGGAAATGTGCAGGTCATAGTGGATGGCTTTGCTGCAATGGGATTCCCTAACTGTGGTGGGGCCATAGACGGAACCCATATCCCTATCTTGGCACCGGAGCACCAAGCCGGCAAGTACATAAACTGCAAGGGGTACTTTTCAATAGTGCTGCAAGCTCTGGTGGATCACAAGGGACATTTCAGCAACATCAACGTGGGATGGCCAGGAAAGGTACATGACGCTCGCATCTTCAGGAACTCTGGTCTGTTTCAAAAGCTGCAGGAAGGGACTTTATTCCCAGACCAGAAAATAACTGTTGGGGATGTTGAAATGCCTATAGTTATCCTTGGGGACCCAGCCTACCCCTTAATGCCATGGCTCATGAAGCCATACACAGGCAGCCTGGACAGTAGTCAGGAGCTGTTCAACTACAGGCTGAGCAAGTGCAGAATGGTGGTAGAATGTGCATTTGGACGTTTAAAAGCGCGCTGGCGCAGTTTACTGACTCGCTTAGACCTCAGCGAAACCAATATTCCCACTGTTATTACTGCTTGCTGTGTGCTCCACAATATCTGTGAGAGTAAGGGGGAGACGTTTATGGCGGGGTGGGAGGTTGAGGCAAATCGCCTGGCTGCTGGTTACGCGCAGCCAGACACCAGGGAGGTTAGAAGAGCACAGGAGGGCGTGGTACGCATCAGAGAAGCTTTGAAAACCAGTTTCATGACTGGCCAGGCTACGGTGTGAAAGTTCTGTTTGTTTCTCCTTGATGAAACCCCCCACCCCTTGGTTCACTCTACTTCCCTGTAAGCTAACCACTCGCCCCTCCTCCCTTCAATCACCGCTTGCAGAGGCAATAAAGTCATTGTTGCTTCACATTCATGCATTCTTTATTCATTCATCACACAAATAGGGGAATGACTACCAAGGTAGCCCAGGAGGGGTGGTGGAGGAGGGAAGGAAAATGCCACACAGCACTTTAAAAGTTTACAACTTTAAAATTTATTGAATGACAACCTTCTTTTTTTTGGGCAATCCTCTGTGGTGGAGTGGCTGGTTGGCCGGAGGCCCCCCCACCGCATTTTTGGGTGTCTGGGTGTGGAGGCTATGGAACTTGGGGAGGAGGACGGTTGGTTACACAGGGGCTGTAGTGGCAGTCTGTGCTCCAGCTGCCTTTGCTGCAGCTCAACCATACACTGGAGCATACTGGTTTGGTCCTCCAGCAGCCTCAGCATTGAATCCTGCCTCCTTTCATCACGCTGCCGCCACATTTGAGCTTCAGCCCTGCCTTCAGCCCGCCACTTACTCTCTTCAGCCCGCCACCTCTCCTCCCAGTCATTTTGTGCTTTCCTGCACTCTGACATTATTTGCCTCCACGCATTCGTCTGTGCTCTGTCAGTGTGAGAGGACAGCATGAACTCGGAGAACATTTCATCGCGAGTGTGTTTTTTTTTCTTTCTAAGCTTCACTAGCCTCTGGGAAGGAGAAGATCCTGTGATCATTGAAACACATGCAGCTAGTGGAGAAAAAAAAAGGGACAGCGGTATTTAAAAAGACATTTTATAAAACAGTGGCTACACTCTTTCAGGGTAAACCTTGCTGTTAACATTACATACATAGCACATGTGCTTTCGTTACAAGGTCGCATTTTGCCTCCCCCCCTCCGCGTGGCTACCCCCTCAACCTTCCCCCCTCCCTGTGGCTAACAGTGGGGAACATTTCTGTTTAGCCACAGGCAAACAGCCCAGCAGGAATGGGCTCCTCTGAGTGTCCTCTGAAGAAAAGCACTCCATTTCAAGCAGGTGACCATGAATTATATCTCACTCTCCTGAGGATAACACAGAGAGATAAAGAACGGATGTTGTTTGAATGCCAGCAAACATACACTGCAATGCTTTGTTGTACAATGATTCCCGAGTACGTGTTACTGGCCTGGAGTGGTAAAGTGTCCTACCATGAAGGACGCAATAAGGCTGCCCTCCCCAGAAACCTTTTGCAAAGGCTTTGGGAGTACATCCAGGAGAACCGTGAATGCCAGGGCAAAGTAATCCTTTCACATGCTTGCTTTTAAACCATGTATAGTATTTTAAAAGGTACACTCACCAGAGGTCCCTTCTCCGCCTGCTGGGTCCAGGAGGCAGCCTTGGGTGGGTTCGGGGGGTACTGGCTCCAGGTCCAGGGTGAGAAACAGTTCCTGGCTGTCGGGAAAACCGGTTTCTCCGCTTGCTTGCTGTGAGCTATCTACAACCTCATCATCATCTTCTTCGTCCCCAAAACCTGCTTCCGTATTGCCTCCATCTCCATTGAAGGAGTCAAACAACACGGCTGGGGTAGTGGTGGCTGAACCCCCTAAAATGGCATGCAGCTCATCATAGAAGTGGCATGTTTGGGGCTCTGACCCGGAGCGGCCGTTCGCCTCTCTGGTTTTCTGGTAGGCTTGCCTCAGCTCCTTCAGTTTCACGCGGCACTGCTTCGGGTCCCTGTTATGGCCTCTGTCCTTCATGCCCTGGGAGATTTTAACAAAGGTTTTGGCATTTCGAAAACTGGAACGGAGTTCTGATAACATGGATTCCTCTCCCCAAACAGCGATCAGATCCCGTACCTCCCATTCGGTCCATGCTGGAGCTCTTTTGCGATTCTGGGACTCCATCATGGTCACCTCTGCTGATGAGCTCTGCATGGTCACCTGCAGCTTGCCACGCTGGCCAAACAGGAAATGAAATTCAAAAGTTCGCAGTTCTTTTCCTGTCTACCTGGCCAGTGCATCTGAGTTGAGAGTGCTGTCCAGAGCGGTCACAATGGAGCACTCTGGGATAGCTCCCGGAGGCCAATACCGTCGAATTGTGTCCACAGTACCCCAAATTCGAGCCGGCAAGGCCGATTTAAGCGCTAATCCACTTGTCAGGGGTGGAGTAAGGAAATCGATTTTAAGAGCCCTTTAAGTCAAAATAAAGGGCTTCATCATGTGGACGGCTGCAGGTTTACATCGATTTAATGCTGCTAAATTCGACCTAAAGTCCTAGTGTAGACCAGGGCTTAGAGACTAACATTTATTTGGGCATAAGCTTTCGTGGGCTACAACCCAATTCATCGGATGCATGCAGTGGAAAATACAGTAGGAAGATATTATATATATATATATATGTGTATATATATACATACACACACATATTCATACACACACACAGAGAGAACTTGAAAAAAAATGGGTGTTGCCATACACACTATAACGAGAGTGATCAATTAAGGTGAGCTATTACCAACAGGAGAAAAAAAAATTTGTAGTGATAATCAGGATGGCCCATTTCCAACAGTTGACAAGAAAGTGTGAGTAACAGTAGGGGAAAAAAGTTTTTAGTTTGTGTAATGACTCATCCACTCCCAGTCTTTATTCAAGCCTAATTTAATGGTGTCCAGTTTGCAAATTAATTCCAGTTCTGCAGTTTCTCGTTTTTTGTTTTTTTTTTTAAAGAATTGCGACTTTTAGGTCTGTAATTGAGTGACCGTGGAGGTTGAAGTGTTCTCCAACTGGTTTTTGAGTGTTATAATTCTTGACGTCTGATTTGTGTCCATTTATTCTTCTATGTAGAGACTGTCCAGTTTGGCCAATGTACATGGCAGAGGGGCATTGCTGACACATGATGGCATATATCACACTGGTAGATATGCAGGTGAACGAGCCCTTAATGGTGTGACTGATGTGATTAGGTCCTATGATGGTGTCCCTTGAATAGATATGTGGACAGAGTTGGCAACGGGCTTTGTTGCAAGGATAGGTTCCTGGGTTAGTGTTTTTGTTGTGTGGTTGCTGGTGAGTATTTGCTTCAGGTTGAAGGGCTGTCTGTAAGCGAGGACTGGCCTGACTCCCAAGATCTGAGAGAGTGAGGGATTATCCTTCAGGATAGGTTGTAGATCCTTAATGATGCGCTGGAGAAGTTTTAGTTGGGGGCTGAAGGTGACGGCTAGTGGTGTTCTCTTATTTTCTTTGTTGGGCCTGTCCTGTAGTAGGTGACTTCTGGGTACTCTTCTGGCTCTGTCAATCTGTTTCTTCACTTCAGTAGGTGGGTATTGTAGTTTTACGAATGCTTGATAGAGATCCTGTAGATGTTTGTCTCTGTCTGAGGGATTGGAGCAAATGCGGTTGTATCTTAGGGCTTGGCTGTAGACAATGGACTGTGTGATGTGGTTTGGATGAAAGCTGGAGGCATGTAGGTAAGTATAGCGGTCAGTAGGTTTCCGGTATAGGGTGGTGTTTATATGACCATCGCTTATTAGCACTGTGGTGTCCAGGAAGTGGATCTCTTGTGTGGACTGGTCCAGGCTGAGGTTGATGGTGGAATGGAAATTGTTGAAATCAGGATGGAATTCCCCAAGGGCTTCTTTTCCATGGGTCCAGATGATGAAGATGTCATCAATGTAGCGCAAGTAGAGTAGGGGCGTTAGGAGACGAGAGCTAAGGAAGCGTTGTTCTAAGTCAGCCATAAAAATGTTGGCAGACTGTGGGGCCATGCAAGTACCTATAGCAGTGTCGCTGACGTGAAGGTATACATTGTCCCCAAAAGTTAAATAGTTGTGGGTGAGGACAAAGTCACAAAGTTCAGCCACCAGGTTTGCCGTGACATTAATCAGGGATACTGTTCCTGATGGCTTGTAGTCCATCTTTGTGTGGAATGTTGGTGTAGCGGGCTTCTACATCCATAGATGGCCAGGGTGGTGTTTTCTGGAAGATCACTAATGGATCAGAGATTTTCTGATTCCCATTCTTCTGCTTTGAGCACTTGATTACATTTCTTCATCTAAGTAGTAATGACAGACCACAGATACAAATGGCTAGAAGTTCTCATTTATTTTAATTATACATTTGACATCACTCCAAAAAAACAAACATACAAACATCAGTTATAAGATGCAGAACTACAAAAGGGCTCGTCTTCACTGCAGCATTAGCTCAAGATAATTTGAATGTTGCCCCTAACTTGACTCCCATGCACATGCAAAAATCTCTAGCCTGATTTACACTCTGGGATTTCCTTCCAGAACCACAGTTCTCAGACCCTCTTAAACAGACAGTATCAGGTCATCTGAATCCAGACATATCCAATGAAGCTGATCAATCAACAAATGTATGTATGCAACGTGGGCGGGGCGGAGCGGGGAGGAGAGACGAGGAGAAATATGCTTTGGTATATGGGTTTCATAATGTTTACTCCATTATGTGTAGTTCTTATTGTTGTCCCAAAGATATCTCCGTATGGAAATGTAGTTAATCCTCCCCATTCCCTCATAAGCCACCCCAGGAATAGAGGAAACCATTTCATAGCTGCTCTCAAGGATTACTGGAGTCTGAACAGCTTCCGCCAAGAACTGACCAGCTTTCGGGGACACTTTGTTCACAGATTCGTACACGTAAAATGCCATTGAATCAGGTATGATCAGCCAGTCACGACGGACGTGTCTTTTTGAGATTGCCTTAGCACCCACTTCTGGGGAGGCGGAAGAGAATATTAACCATCTTTAACGATCATTTTCCATGCTTGCACTGAGCTCTCCCAAGAGCTGCAGTGGAAAGAGACCAGCTGGAAGACTGTAGTAGGATTTAGAGTCTCCCCGGGATTCAAAGGCCTGTGTCCACGTGTAGGATCCACGGTTCTAGGCTACAAATCTTCAGTCTCTAAATGTAGCCGAAACTGAACAGCACAGCCAGTGTTCACATACCTGTCCATGCACTGGGACTTAGACAGCAGAACACAGTGCTAAGATACTCCCCACTAAGCTGTGCGTGTGGGAGGATGCACTAGTAACTGGCTTCACACTCCCAGTCACAATGAAAATTCATGCACTCTACCCTGTACTACCAGGCGTTAATCCTAGTTCATGGCTAGGAGAGACTTGTGCAAAGCAGGTTAAGTGCATATAAAGCTGAGGAATATCTCCACCAGCCTGAAGGGTTTTAAGACTTACCAGAGAGACTGGTGCTGAGGAGCAGAATCAGAGCCATCGCCAAAGCTCTGGACTGAAGCATGGTTTGTAGCACAAGCTCAATGCAGTACCCTCAGAAACCAGCCAGAAGCACAATTAATCACTTTGATACTGAATAGAGAAAAACAGTATACCCCGAATTAACAACAGGCAACAACTCAGAGAGAGACATCAAGGTCATTCTTGCTTTATATCCTTTACCTCCTTAAAAGATGAGGGCATTGAATACAAAAAGCTAAAGTTATTTCACTTATATGGTACCATGAATATGCATAAGTAGTAAAAACACCCAAGCATACATTAGATATGTTAAAGCAAAAATGCTTTATCCTATATAGGAGTTAAATTCACGTGCTTCAGGGTAAAGCCAATCACTAACCTAACACAGGGGTCAGAAAGAGACTTCCTTCATGAGCAGGTTGCTTCTTAAACTGTACACTATATTCTTGCACCTTCCTCTAAAACAACATCTGGTACTGGCTACTGTTGGCCATAGGATACTGAACCAGATGGCCTGAACTGATCTATTGTTTGTATTCCTATGGCTGAGAAATGACCTGCCTGGAAGTCCAAAAGAGTTTCTTTTGGCATGTTCATGCTGGGGATAATTAAGAGCAAAAACCATTGTTTATGCAGTTAACACTCTAAGCACAAATCCTGCTTTGTTCTCATCCAGGCTTCTTTCTCTGGACATTATTTTCTGCTTGGTCAACTGAAAAGCTAATATGAGGCCAAGCCATGGGGGTAAAATTAAATAAGCTTTTAAAACACAGAGGATTTCAAAGGGCACATGCTGGAAGATAACTTGAAAGTTAACATGTTTTGATTTAAATTACCGTAAATTACAACACGTCTAGTCAAATAGAATCATTTCAGTGCTAGGACTCCCCATTGCAGGGAAGGCTGCTGGGCTGCCAAGCCTAAGGGTTTTGCTAAGCTAACACAAGGTGGCTACCAGGGGATTCTCACCGTTAGCCTGCATACCTAAGGCTGCTTCTCTCCACAGCACCTTCCTAGTCCACATTAGAAGCTCTGCTGCTGATGGCAATCAGACAGCTGCTGGTTACTAGCTAACACTCTGACAGCTATTGCTTAGGTAGCTTCCTCTCTGTTAGTCCTGGAGCCACATTCACCCCTACAGACCTAAGGTATAATATGCATCCATGTGGTCATGAAGGAGTAGGGAATCTCTCCTCTTTAAAGCCTGGAACTCCGCTGGTGGAGGCTACTTGGGAGAAGCACTGAATCAGCACACCTCTTCCTGTGTTGGCCCTACCCAGCTTTTGGAAATGTGCTAGCTGACTCCAGGTCCCTAGTGGGAACAGGGATTGCAGATGGTTTTTGCCAGTGCACCCCCATTCCAGGGAGCATTACTGCCTTGGAGTGGTGGGCTACCAGTCTGGGTGAATCCAGCCCTTGGTCTGAAAGGAGAAATTAGGTAGAAACAGCCTCCCTGCTCTACTCCCTCCTGTACGTTCCATATAGACACCAATCAGCTACAAGGTTTGCACAGCTGGAAATGACAGATGGAATGTTGTTCTTACCTTGCTCTCTCTCTCACTGGCAGAGGCAGGGGTAGAAGTGTGCCTGAAACACAAGCACTTACACAAAGTTAAATTTGAGATAGCAAGCAGGTCAGAGGTCATGCTTGGCTCCACATTGGGCTCTTTCACAACAAGGGTCAGAAGAGTGGGATGGGTAGGAGGTACAGAGTCCCAAGTCCTGCTCAGAGTGGGATTTGGTAATGGAGGGTCAGTCCAGCTGAGACTAGATCCTGAGCCTTTAGCTAGTGTTTGCTTCATACCCTACCCCCACATTCCCACTAAGAACCTACGCAAACAGCAGCTATATTCTCCTCTTCTTACGCTACGTATTTTGTACTTCTAATGACAAGAAGTCAGTCATTTAGTAGGTGCTTCTCTTGCATGTGGAAAAGGCAAAGAGGGTTCATTTTCAAACAAGACCCAATGAATAAGCACATCATAGTACTATTTATCTCTGTTGTCACTTACGAGCTCAAAGCTGTTTACAACCAGAGGATAAGTATCATTATCTCATTTGACAGAGAGTGAGGGAAACTGAGACAGAGGGATTTGTAAAGTGACTGGATTAAAGTCCTGTAATTTGAGTAGGGCTGGTCATAAAATTCTCTGTCAAAATTATTTCTTGATAGAGATTGCATTTACAACAAAACCAAGGCCCGTATCCTCAAAGGTATTGATTTCATCGGGAATTTGGCACCTCAATAGGAGTAATGGGAAAAGCATTTGTGGATCTGGGTCTAAGTGTCTGCTTTCCCTGAAAATTTTCTATTTTTCATTTGAAAACTGAAAAATTCTGGCCAACCCCCTGATTTTTCTCATTTTGACAAAAAGTCAAAATTTTCTAGGGGGAAGGAGAGATAACATGTTCGAAGCAGCTCTAATGATAAGGTTAGTTCAAGAGTCACTCTTAGAACAGAGATTTTCTGATTCCCATTCTTCTGCTTTAAGCACTTGATTACATTTCTTGGTCTAAGTAGTAAGGATAGACCACAGATACAAATGGCTAGAAGTTCTCATTTATTTTAATCATACATTTGACAATCACTCAAAAAACAAATCATACAAACATCAGTTACCATCTGGCTTTTCATTGTACAGCTGGCATAGTGGAATGACATTGTAGAAAAATAGTACAAGGCACATTCTAGAGATTAAACAAGATGCAGAACTACAAAAGGGCTCGTCTTCACTGCAGCATTAGCTCAAGATAATTTGAATGTTGCCCCTACCTTGACTCCCACGCACATGCAAAAATCTCTAGCTCAGGTTAACTGGCGCTTTAAACTCACATTAGCTGGCCCGTCGGGGGTGTGGGTAGAAGCTCAAGTGCTGCTGGGTCTAATAATGCAACGGAGACATAGCTACACTGCGGTGCTTCCACAAACACACTGTGCTGTTTGAGAGTTATTTTGCTGTGTGGCCACTCTCACTTGAGCTGAGTGAGCACAAGTTACCCCTGCCATGAAGACAAGCTCTAAGATTGTTCCTGGGCCTTTTTGCACTCTCAGTTATGGGTTGCTCGATTGCCAACAGTCTAGATGTGATTGTTTACTTTGTTTGAACTCAGCGATTGCACAAAAAGCAGCCCCTTGGGCCTCCAGTCTTGGAATGGGGTCTACCTACTGCAGCAATAGGAGCTCTACAAATGCATAAGATAGCCAGGCACATGGGTCCATTCTTGTTCAGTGAGAACAGAAGATTTTATACCACTCATGGCTCTATAGCAATGAGTGGAAAGCAGTTGCCAGGATCAATATCTGCCTGCCCTGCAGAACAGGAGAGCTTGCAATGGAAGGTTCAGGCATACTCATTACCCCCAAGAAAGGGTCTCGTTATAGCATAATCACTTTGCACCCATTTCATCTCTATTGATACAGAAATTTTCTTGTTTGCAAGGGATATTCCTTTGACTGTTCAACAAGATCCACAGAGACTAGAACTGAATCAGCAACTGGAAATGAATTTATCCAGTTTACCACCTATACACAAGCTCATTGACTTATGAATTTGTTTGCTCTTTGTAATTATTTGAAATGGTCATAAAAATCCCTCCTTTACCTGGAAGGGGCTAATCAGTTCCATTAACCTAGTTGCAACCTGACCAGAAGGACCAATGGGGAAAGAAGATACTTCCAGATCTGGGGGAGGGTGGAAAAGGTTTTGTTTGTGCTCTTTGTTTTAATTCTCTCTTGGAACAGAGAGGGGCCAGGGCAGGAAAAAACCATCTGCTAAAACCGTGTCTGAAATAAGCATCTAAAATTACAAAATTGTAAGTAAAGCCGGGAAAGGCGTTAGATTATCTTTTGTTTTAGCTTGTGAATTTTCCCTATGCTAAGAGGGAGGTTTATTTCCTGTTTTTTGTAACTTTGAAGTTTTGCCTAGAGGGGAATCCTCTGTGTTTTAAATCTTATTACCCTGTAAAATTACCTTCCATCCTGATTTTACAGAGGTGCTTCTTTTACTTTTTTCTTTATAATAAAGTTCTGCTTTTAAGAACCTGATTAGTTTTTAGTGTCCTAAAAACCCAGTGGTCTGTGCTCACCTTGTTTACCTATTCAGTTGGTATATTATTCTCAAGCCTCCCCAGGAAAGGGGGTGAAGGGGCTTTGGGAGATATTTTGGGGAAACAGGAACTCCAAGTGGTCCTTTTCCTGAATCTTTGTCTAACTCACTTGGTGGTGGCAGCAGTACCATCCCAGGACAAGGACGGATTTGTGCCTTGGGGAAGTTTTTAGCCTAAGTTGGTAGAAATAAGCTTAGGGGGTCTTTCATGCGGGTCCCCACATCTGTACCCCAGAGTTCAGAGTGGGGAGGGAACCCTGACAGAAACTTTTGTGTAAACAAACTGTGGATTTGTTTACACAAAACAGCAGTCTGTGGATTTCTCTGGCTCCATTCCATGCAAGTAAGAGTATTTAATATTTGAGCTGCATGTTTTGTTATCTAAACCACATAGTATTGTTTCCAGTCCCCAACTGGATAATCTAAACTACTACTGTCCACCATTTAATCACAAAATTAAATGTTTCAGCTACAGGTTTGAAATTAGTTTTCCCAAAAACATTCATACAAGCAGAATTTAGCTCATGTGAATGTTATCAAAAAGTGAAAAATAGGGGCCCAAACATGGTCAAAACAAGCATTAATGAACTACTCACAAATAATTTCTTCAGCTCTCCTACAGAGCTCGTGGGGAAAGGGAAGAAGAGAGCTCACTTCCTGGTGCCCCAAGTTGTGTCATTAATACAAAAATACCATTCTGGCAGTCATCATCAAATAGCACTGTTACACATAACCTTCATGTTCTTTTTCCACAGGCTACGTCTACACTTGAAATGCTACAGCAACACAGCTGCATGACTGTAGTGCTTCAGTGTGGACACTTACTGTAGCAATAGAAGGGGTTCTCCCATTGCTCAAATCTAGGTAAGCTACTCCCTTTGGGAGAGGTAGATAGGTCAACAAAATTATTCTGTTGACCTAGCTGTCTACAGCAAGGTTTAGGTCATCTTAACTATGTCTCTCAGGAGTGTGGATTTTTCACACTCCTGAGAGATGTAGTTATGCTGATGCAACTTTTCAGTTTAGGCCAGCCCTTAGCATGCGAACAAGTTTTGTCTCTTGGGAAGACATGCTGTGTTAGGCTGGAGTTATACAAGATTTTGTGAAGAGGCAGCTTTCGGGGAAAGAAGTAGCTGTGCAAAAAGCAGGAGTTTACTATCTGCCTTGGGCTCTGATTAGAATCAGTTTATGGGGCACAGTTGCTCCTTGGGAGCCGGGCACTGGTCTGGGCTGAGATAGTAGGAAGAAGAGAAGGCATTATCCTGCATGCTGTTTGACCATCTCATTTCAGAACTAGGGTGCAAGTTACACTGAATATACCCAGAATCCATACTACTGATTTTTCCTCCCTGGAAAGTCAACCTGCTCAGCCCCAGACATCTGCTTCTGCTCAGCAGAGGGGCAATGCTGAGTGCCAGGACTGGTCTATACAGGGAACTTACAAAGGCATAGCTACACCTCTCATGGGTGTGAAAAATCCATATCCCTGAGAGACATAACTGTGCTGACTTAACCCCCAGTGTAGACAGTGCTAGGTTGACAGAAGACTTCTTGGGGAGGTGGATTACCTATGCCAACGGGAGAACCCCTCCTGATGCAGTGTAGACAGTGGCAAAGCTGCAGTGTTCCAGGTGGGCCGCTGTAGTGGTTTAAGAGTAGACATACCCTCAGAATGGGATACTGATGTGGGAAGAAGGGGCAACAATGCTGTTCTTTAATATCAATTCAGTTGTCCATCAACTCTTCACAACGAATACAAAATCATTAGCCAGCCACACACAGAGAGAAATGTATTAAAACCATCCAAATTACATAAGTACCACTACCACCACCATATCATTAAAATCTCATTTTTAAATAAAAATTTTCACAGATCCATCCAAGGTAGCCAGAGCAATTGCCTCTCTTTTCCATGGGGAATGGAGCCCTCATCCTTACATTCTGGTTGCTGCAATGTTGGGGCTAGCTTACAATGGAAATACAGAAAAGTCTTCTCTAACATAAAATTAGACAGTCCCTGCTGCGTCCATCACAGGTCTCAAGATGAACTTGGTTACACAGATATGTGACCGTGGAACAGACCTAGAAGCAACACTGGAGCTGGGAGCATCATCCTCAAGTTCTGCATGGAGCCAGCTATTCCAGGTGTGGGGCACGTGTGATTTAGTAGTCCATGCAAGTTACACATCCCC